AAAAGATTATAATATGGGTCCTAGCCATAAGGGAAAAGACTTGATATTGTAACCTTTTGAGTTTAAAGTTATCCAATTGAGCTGAGAGGGAGTTCAATCTTTAGGTGAGTAAAGTGTGTTAGGAGAGTTCTAGCCTCTTGAAAGTCTAATGTGTTAGGGTAGAGGAAGACCATTTTTCTTCATCATTTTCTCTTTATATTTATTTTAATGTGTGGGTAAGTGACTTATGTTCTAGGTTGTTACTCTGTGATGTGTATTATGTACTAATCCTTACCTTGTAACTACATTCAGTTTAGTATGTGGGTGAGGTTAGCTTAAATCATTATTTCTCTTATAATCCAACTTTATTACTCAACAATAGTATTTTCAACCCCATTTAAAGTGTGTTTTTCGGTTTTTACTTGTTTTAAGCTTATTAGAATAAAGGGTTATTTCATAATCCTTGGTGTGATAAGAGACATGTACTATTAAGTTTGGGGAAGGAATTTATGTCTTCATTCGAAAAAAAATATTTATTCAAAGCAATATCCATTTTGCATATATGTCTCAGGATATAAGAATCGATTTCAAAATTTTATCAAATACCTACATGAAATGGGGGATGAGGTATTTTTTCCCTTATCCCTATATTTCTTCTATATGTGCACGTGTTTTTTTATCTATATGTGTTGCTTTTATTTGATATCCTCAATTATTTAGAGCAAAGCTAGAATAGATAGCTCCAGCATTATCATTTTGTTCGGGAAAATGGTTTTACTAATTTGATTTCCCTGTTTTATTAATTATTCAAACTGCCATCTTGTGCTTCTTATTGAATATCTTGAACTGTTAGTGCCCTAATGTTAAAACTAAACTTGATTGATGTGAAGTTCATTATTGTATCAGGATTCTCTCGCTGAAGTTGCTAGATAGCTAGTTAAAAGTGCCCAGCTTGTAATATATGAAATTAATACACAATTTCTACATGCATGTCTTAACATTAACATTGGCTTTATTTGTGACTGTTGTAGATCATTATCATGACTACACGTGAAGGAGTGCCTTAGGAATTTTATGGAGCAAAATAATTGGATCACTAAGGTTAAGTTAATTATTTTTTTCTTGATGCTTACCTCACTCTCACTTTTTTCTTTATCTATTGTTTCTTATATTTTAAAATTTTTGTTCTTGAATCTTAAATTGTGTTTCTTTTTAGCAAAAATAATGTGGCATTTCTTGTGATTTTCTTTTGATTATTGATCCTCCTTGTTGAATTGTGTGTGTAAGTATAGTTTTAATCACTGACGCTTCTTTTTTCAACAATTTCAATACACAGTTTTCCTTGTCTATGGTACCAAAAAGTTCCCCTCTCCTTGACATTTAGTCCAAGAATAATTTTAAAGGTAGCTAGATTTAAGTCGGATATAATTCACTCATCATCACATAGCATAATGGTTGGTCAACAACTTATGTATTCTCTCTTACCTATTTAGGCACATTACATTTACAAAAATGAATATACATGTAGTGTATTCTTAAATAAATAAAAAGAAAGAGAGAGATTGGGTGGAAAGGTGAAATGTAAGGCGATATAGATTCACATTCTTTTGAATCACACTCTCTTGCCCCTCTGAATGTATGAATGTAAAAGATCCACTTTGCACATTCATTCTACTCTAAGGATACTGTAGAAAGAATTTGACTCTGGCGATATTTCAGGTTTTCGGTGCCCTTGTCATAGCGAAAGTTTTGTGGGTGCCTCTTGCCCTGTCTTATCATACCTATGTACCTGTGTAAGTAGTATTTATGTTCAAATTTTTCTACCTTTACACATATAGCTTCTTACTTTTGATCGGAGCTATAATAGCTTATTCGATATTGTCTTTAGGTACATTCCTAGATACACCTTTAGTTAGCTGGTGAAGCCTATGTAGATGATCGTAACTATATGTCCTTTCTTTCAAACTTAATAGGATTAAGACTCAATTTTTGTGAACATGATATGAACTTTTCATGTTTTGCATAGAATTTCTTCATGGGATAGATCTTAAAGAAGCTAAAGCAACAGTAGGCGAACATAAGTATCCCGTTCTTAAGTAGTTGTCTCTTCATTATTGTCAGTTGTAACATCAAAGTTAATACTCTTGTTTCTACTGCTCAATGTCTAGTTAATAGAATTCATCTTTAGAGCAAGGGTATTGACTCTAAAAGTTTCCATCCTCAATTTTGGTCAGATGAAATGAGACTAAGACTTAGGTAGGAATCTTCTCACATTTCTTGTCATATATATCACTTTGACATGATAGGATTTCATCTTATTACCTTAAGTTGTGTCAAACAGCAATGGTGAGCCTGAGAAGCCGTTGATAATACATGTTAGAAGACGTGGAGTTGATAAGAGTTTGGACTTTCTCAAAAGGTAGAGTCCTTCATTTGGCTTATCACTTTTCTTGAAATCTGTTGCCCATCTTGAAAATTAGAATATTAAGCTGCATAGGCGTTATGGTTATCACTTAGCAACAAACTCTGTAACTTCCCCATTTAACAAGCAAGATGTTTCAAGCATCATGGTCTGAATATCTATATATTGTCTAACATTCAAAACACTTGATTTGGCAAGGTCATAGACAGACTTCCTAAAGCAAGAATAGCATTCATCGGAGATGGTCTGTGCAAGTAATTAATGTAACTCGTCACTATTAGTATACCATTATCTCTTGTCTCTGTAATCATGTTACAACTACTTTTACCATAAAAAATTTTCTCATTTAAAAAAAAAAGGATATAACACTTTTTACCAAATAAATTTGCTTCCCAACTAGTAAGGAGGAGCTGGAGAAAATGTTTGAAGACATGGCTGTAGTATTCACAGGTATGTTAGGAGGGGATGAATTATCCTAGGCATATGCAAGCGGAGATGTCTTTGTGATGCCTTCAGAGTTAGAGACTCTCAGGGTTGTGGTCCTGGAGTCAATGTCTTTTAGCGTTCCTCTGGTGGGAACGCGTGCTAGAGGGATCCCAAACATAATCCCTATAGACCAAGCGGGTAAAATTGGCTATCTCTATACTCCTGGTGATCTTGAAGACTGGTTGAGCAAATTAATGTCACTGTTGCACGATAAGGAGCTGAGGGAAACCATGGGGAAAGCTACACGAGAAGAAATGGAGAAGTAAGATTGGAGGGCAGCCACTTGAAATATTTAGAACGAGAATTACAATGTTGACATATGGTTTTGGCGTAAGAAAAGAGCTCAGCTACTAAGACCTTTACGATGGCTGACAAAACGTATCTTTCCATCTCCAAGACTGAAAGCCATTAAGTGCAAGTAAAAGGTGAAGCGACATGTAAGTAACATTTTTCAAGTTTAGGCTGGTTTGCAGCGAGCTTTGTGATGACTTCAAAGAAGCCTTGTATTGTATGGTGCAACATGGATGAATGTGTGATCGATTGTGGTGTTGCATCTCATTTAGTGTATTTATAATGGAATGAAAATTATGGAGTCTTTTGCTTTTATGTCATGCCATGGCTATTGGACTGAAAACAAAACGTGATGTCGAGTGTCGAGTGAATCTAGTGGGAACTACTTGAAGAGAAATAGTTGCTTGAAATAATAACGTTACGTATAAAATTATGGTGCAAGTGGTTTGATGTTTTCATTTTATTAAAATTGCGTGAATGCAAAAAAATATCCATGAGCACTAGAGATGGAAAATAAAGTGGGTAGAAGTAGGAAGGTACAAGGTTTCCCGAAATATCGATTTGCATTATCGGATGGACAACTAATTAAAAGCCCATAGCTCCAAGCCAACCTTTCAACTTCCACATCTTGTAGCTTTTCCCTTGGATCTTTGGATTTGATTTGTTATCATTACAAGCATTTTTTTTTAAAAAAAAAAAAAAGCAATGTGGAGATTGGGACTCACCTGATTTCTCTCAAATTGAGAGGTTGGACCATGCAAAAGGCTACTTAACTGCATTTGCTTGTTTTCTGTCTTTTTCATTTTGGTTTATTCATTCAGTCGTTTGTTGCCCACCCTTCTTTCTTTCATGTGCGCATCCCTTTCAGTATCTCTCAATCTCTTCATCCCTTCTCTCCCTTCTATTTTATTCATTACAATTTATATAGGGAGAATGGCAGCAAAATCTCAAGAGAATAAATTAATTGCGGGCACTTCTCTTAGAAGAGATTCGTTTGTCATGTTGTATGGGAGATTTAACTCCTATTGATAATAACTTGTTATTTTTAACTTTAAACATTTATATATGTGTTCTCTCTTAAAATTTAAAAAGCAAGTTACAAAATTATCATTTTAAAATTGTAAAATTAAAAACTAAACTTACAAATTGTGTTTCTTATTAAATTAAGAAAATAAGTTACAAATTAATCATAATAAAGTTGTAAAGTTGAAAAATTTAAATTACCAAGGGTGTTTTAGACTTTTTTCATTATATAAAAATTTTATTTAATGACTAAAAAACTTACCTCACATGACATTCTGAAATTGTTTGAGACTTCGAATGAATAAATTAATTCCTTTAAAATTTAGTTGTCCTTCCCCTTTATATATATATATATATATATCCTTTCATTTTCATTATTTGAAGCCCCCCCATAAAATCCATACTTCCCTTACTTCCCTCGCCTACTTAAGTATACCTCGCTCTATTATTTTGATTTTGATAAGAACACTCCCTATTTCTATTCTTAAAACATGATCTTATGATGATTATAAAATAATCTTACAATTATTACCGTTGAATTCTTGTGCTGTTTCAAGTCTTTAAGTAAAATGTTAGTAGCAAAACATGCAAAACTTGTAATTTAGATATAAATTTTCCCCGGTAAAGTAGGAGCTTTCTTTTTTTTCTTTTTTTTTTTGGGGGGGCAGAGATAAAGTAGGAGCTATTTATGTGGGACCCTCTTGTCCATATCAACATAACAAGGGAGCAAATTAAAATCCATTGAATCAAAAACTCACTCTTTTTCTTAATTAAAAATAGAGAAGGCCACGACACATGCTAAGTTAAATTCAGGGCTCCCCGGAGCACAGTCTATTTCATAAGCTACCATTTAATCTCCTTTGACATCAGTCATCCATAGTCTTATCCTCAAACTCTCGCCGTCCCGCACACACTATCATTATCTTCCCACAAACTTTCTTTAAAACCCAAACTACAAGCTTAACTCATATGTTAGTAGAACCATTCCATCGCTCACCTCAATAAATTAATAGGACAACCACCAAACATCCTCAGTCCTGCTTCTCCCTAACCTTTTCTTCTCCTTTTTTGTTTTTACCTTTTTTTTTTTTGTTATGTTATTCGATATGCGTCACCTGGGAAGTGAAAGCTGCATTGCCCATTTTTTTCAGAAAATTACTAGCGAAACACTGCCATCACACAACTTTGAACCCACCACACGACCGTTGACCAACACTCAAGAACGTAAACCCTGTGTCGTTTTGTGGCCACACGCTCCGTCCCGTCGTTTCCGGCTTTCATCGACATCCCTGTCCTTTAAGCTGCCACTTCGCGACGAACTCACACGATCGGCGATACGTACTGCATAAACTCCGTGTCGTTTTCCAGTCCAGCCATGGTCTCCGGGGCCAAAACGACTTCCAGATCAACACTCCCGTTTCCTTCTCTTCCCGGAAACGCCGAGATCTTCCCGTCAAATTTGTTGGCCTTCCCGCTTCTGACCGCCAGCGGTCGGCCCCATCCGAAATCGTTGTCGTACATCGGAAAACGCGGAGAGCTGCCCATCGTGATTGATGCGCCGTCGAAGTTCCCCAGCGGAAACAACCTCGGGGCGTTCTCCCAATCCTCTATGCCGCGTCGCACCATAGCGTCGTCGTGCGCAACGACGTTTTGGTGGAGCAGATTAGCACACCACCGCAGATCACGAGACAGAATCTCGCCGACTTCGGCGACGGTCGGGATGCTCTGAATCGCGTTGCCGAAGTAGTAGGCGTCCATCTTCGGCCTCAGACGGTGGCGACAGTTCACCGCCATGCGAAATGTCGACGTTTTGGACGGATCTAGCTTCCTCGCACGTGTCACGGAGCGCCACAGCTGAGCAGATAAGGATTGGAAAGACGAGATCTCTCCGGTCCTAGCTGGTACGCCGTTGTTAACTGCCGTTATCTGCCCGTTAGTAACGCCGTTAACAGTTTTCCAACTGTCGTTAACCTGCTTCCCCATTACCTCCGTGGAATTCGCGAAACCGTTACGGCCGCCACTGTTAGCTCTGAGCTTCAGCTTCAGAATTGCGTCCCTGCTGAAGTGGAAAACTCTCTCCCGGAGAGGCTGGTCGGCGTCGAAGGTGACCCTGGGGCCACCGGCGGGGACTCTCAGCACGGCGGTGGAGTTGAAAACGGTGTCGCGGGTGAAGTCTGGCGAGTTGGATATCTTCTTCGCGCCCTTGCAGATCTGAGCGAAGGTATTGAAGAAGTGCCAGAAGGAAGTCCCGTCCGTGACGGAGTGATTGACGGTGCATCCTATGAACACCCCATCGGCGAGCTCGGTGACCTGGACTGCGGCGAGGGGGTTGTGGTGGCCGGAATAAGAGATGGTGTTGTCGTAGGTGAAAAATTCCTTAAAGCAATTGGGAACATCGACAAGTTCGGGGGAGTAAATCGAGCTGACAAGGAGATGTTTAGCCCTGGCCTGAACAAAATCGACGCCGGCGTCATTGCAGAGGATGTGGACATAGCCGAGATCATCGGTGATGAGGCGGCCAGCAAGGGCGGGAAAATGGGAGAGAGCGAGGGAAAGGGAGTGTTTGAGGGAGACGATGAGATCATCGAAGGAGTAAGGCGGGAGGGGGAGGAGGACACCCTTCTGAATGTAATGGCAGGAGAGCATGGGGAGGTCGGAGACGGAAAGCTTGAGAGTGGTGAGAGGGGATTTCTGATCGGGGAAGATGGTGCATTTGGAGAAAATGGTAGTGGAAGAAGAAGGCATGATTGATTGCAGAGCAGAGCAGAGAAGAAGGAGAAGAAGGTGAGAGTGAACAAACAGAGGCAAGGAAGGGAGTGAGTGAAGGGAGGGGGGAGTGAGGGGGATATATATAGAGAGACGAAGGGAGGCTTGGGGGGATGATGGGGAAGGATGCGATGAATGGAGTGAGAAGTGCGATTACAGGGGGAAGTATCGGAGTAGAGTCGTCACTGACAGGGTACTAAATATTTGTTATTTGAGTGTTAAGGTTAATGGGAGGAAAAGAATAAAATAAGGAAAGCCTGGGGTGACGTTGCAAGGGTGGAGGACACTTGGAGGAGTGTGGATTTTTGATAAGAATTTGTAAGCTTGGATTTTGGGAAGGAGGATTATAGGAAGCTGTGAAACTCAAGCCATTTTATTTTCCTCCGCAACAAGTCCCAACCTTCTGCCCCCTTCCAGACTTATCGTGACCTCCTTCCGCTTCACTTTTTTTTTGGGAGTGGGATTAATTTATGTTTTTTTATTGCTCGCAGAGCAGCTTTTTATTAAATATAATCCCGTTTGACATATGATTGAATAGTAAATATATGCATTCTTTATGATAAGAATTAAACTTCAATCCATCGCATTGGAAATGACTGGTATTTTTTTACCAAACGTAACTCCTATTATTTGAGGATTCTTTCAGGTTTGGTCATTTATTTTTAAAGTGATTTAGTATTGTGCAGTATTTGAAAACCGGTTAATCTTTTATGAAAAGAATGTTAAAATAGTTTTATCTAAAAAGTTTTTAAAATACCAACAAAGATTGTCTAATTAACAAGGATTTGGCAAAGGTACGTCAGGGAGATCTAATTCGTTTTTTTTTTTTTTTTTGCCAAGAAAAAAAAAGTTTGGAAAATGTAGTTTCAAATTGTCACTCATCATTAATTTGTTTTTTTCCCCCGAGACCGTAACCATTAATAACACACAATTTTTTCTCTCCAGTGATCATCCATTGCCCACTTAATTACATTATATTTTTTTCATCTTAAATTATAAAATACTTTTAGATAAAATCTCACGTATCAATAAAACTCATTAAATACACTTTACAACTTTATTTTTTAAGATAAAAATATAAAATTTCAAAAATATTCTTTATTTAATACTCTATTAATAAAATAATATTAAAGAGAGAAAATATATGAGAAGGATAATATAGGAAGAGTATCATTAATGAAACCTTATTTTCATCAAAATGTCTTATATTTTAAAATGTTAAATCTTCCTTAAAAATGTCTTATAATTTAGGATGGAGGGAGTATTATTATTTGTAAATGTGAAATTAAATAAGAAAAATAATAATTAAGTTTCAAAAGAGAAAATTAATAACAATTAATTCATCAACAAATTTTTGTAAAAAATAAGTTATAAATATCAATTCAAACAGCTGCGAATTGCAAATATAATATTTAAATTTTAAATATAATAATTAGTTTGTAATTTAAATTTTTATTTATAATTGTTTGAATTGATATTTATAATTTAATTTATAAAAAAAATATTATCGGGAACTTAACTATTATTAATTCATTATTTTAAAATTTTATTGTCATTCTCTGAATTAAATATGTAAAATAATCAAATCTATTGTCTTGGGCAAGGGAGATTTAGAAAACACAAAAATAGAATGAAAAATTAGTTGAGTTTTTTTCCCTTTGTTAAAACTGGACTGAAACACTAAAACTACAAAATTGACTAATAACTACTTCGATTGCCCTTTTTTGTCGTCTGGCCTTGACTAATAACTACTTTTCTTTATGCTGCAGTTCAGTTATGCTAATGCTAAACAGCTAAAGCGCAGTGGCAGATTGAATTTACTCATATTATTGGAAGTTGATAAAATGTTTAATGCCTAATTAAGATGCTGATTTTAATTTACCAAGTTTAGGAATAATGTGGGTTTAGGGTTCTTTTTCAACTTTGATCATCTAGGTGGCATCTGGTCCACGTCTGCACCACGTAAGTCCCTCCACTTGCGTGCCACATGCGCAACTCGGGGTCAAAACTTTCCATTAAACAATCAGAGTTAGGTTTCAATTAAGAAAGGTTTACATTGTATTGATTCAGATACTTGGTGGGCAAAATTACTCTTTCCTTACTTTAGGATGCTTCAAGGACAAATGTACACTTTAACCCTTAAATATAAGAGGAAAAAACTATCCATTGTTCTTATATTTAAAAAAAATTATTTTTATGTCATAAAAAAAACTTTTTACCCTCATCAAGTTAGCATAATTAAGTTAACATCATTAAATAACAATAAACACGTAAAATAATCAATAAGGACACTCCAAAAAAATAACCTGGAACATATTCATTAGTCTGAAGTGTATTTTCTGCGCTTGTGAAATAGTTATTTGATTTTTATAAAGAAGTCCGGAAGAAATCATTTAAAAAAATCACTATTTTCTCAACCTTTCTTCATGTTAAACCCCCGTGTGATTTTGAAATATACTCCCTCTGGTCTTAATCTTTAATATAATATATTTGGTGGGATATTAATTAGGTTTTTTCAATATTATTACTATTTTTTTTCCAAATTTTAAAAAATACATAAGATAGCTTGAAACTCTTTGTTAACTTTTTTTATATATATAGTAAAAAATATTTATCCAACAAAGATATATTGGATACTTTTATTAGTTAAGCAAATTTCTAGATATATATATATATTCATTGCCGTTAATTATGGATGTAGTAGGGCTGCACAATCGATTGATTAAACAGGACTTTAGGCTCACCCAAAGTTTGGTCCTTTTTATAAAAAGATTGAGTTAAGTAACCCATAACCTGGTGTAATCCTAGTATAACTTAAAACTGAATAAGACCGGACTAGTCCAATAGGACTATGAGATAGTCCTAATTTTGTCTAGCATCTCACTTTTTTTTCTTTTCATTTATGAGAAGTAGCAATTCATTTTAACATAATAAACTCAATTAACATAATAAAATTACTTATAGTCATATAAAATTTATCACAACAATAACAATTATAAATTCACAATAATTTCTAACAACAAAAAGTATTTCAATTACAATATAAATTATTCAAATTAAACAACATTCAACAACTTTTAACATGTCTAAAGTTCATTATATCAAGTTAACAATAAATTTTACAATAAAAGGAGAATATTAAGATTGGTCAATGCTAGAATTTTGCTCAATATTCATGCCTTCATAATATAAAACAAAAAAATACTAGTTATTATTACAAATTAACTTATTGTAATAATAATAAATTAATTATAATTATATTAAAAAAAAAAAAAACATACCTTTTGATTATTGTACTTTACTTGTGTTTACTATAAATCCCTTATTTTTTTTTATATTTTAATCCCTATATTTTTTTTGGTGTTTTAGTTCATCTGAGATCCCTACATTTTATTTATTTTGTTCATTTAGAGACCAAGAATACCAAAAAATAAAAATATAAGGACTAAAAATACTGAAAAAAAGTATAGGGATCAAAAAGTATGTTTTTTCTTAAATTTATAGGACTGAGATTAAGTGATCCAGATATTCAGTTTCTTATACAGTCCAACTCAAAAAAAAAAGTCTAATCTTTTTTATCTTAGAAAACTAATCTTTATCTAGATCAAATAAGAGTGAGTTTGTCTTGAATTGAATCAGATTATACTGAATTAAAAGATTTTACATAGCCTTAGGATGTAGCGCATATATCATACCACCGCATATGAACTTCGAGGATAAGCTTTTTGCTTTTTGGGTGACTGAATTAGAAAAGCAAAAAAAGAAGCACGTTTATGTTATTATATTGACAAAAAGGACAAAAAAAGATAATTTTTGATCAAAGGTTGCTGTTTAATTAAGTCACGTTTGCCACCATTAATAATATCACGAGGATGGGGGTTATGAATTCAAGTACGCACAACTAGCGTGACTATTATATGAACAAGTGGCAATGCATAGAAAGTGGTGGCTGTAAAATATGATTAAATTAAAGAGAAGACAAACACCAACGTTACTCTGCTAATTAATCTCTATATCACTTCATGAATTGGATTCTTCACACCTGTATTGCAGACCAAAACATCACTTGAAAAAATCGCATCGCACTAACGACAAGTCGTTTCGTTTCTATCTCAAAAATATCTTTACACCGTCAAGTTTCCATAGCTTGTGACATTGGCCAAAATAAAACAAGAAGAGAAGCAAAGGAAGGGAAAAAATGACAATATGTCTCTTACTCTCTTTGATATTTAACAATTTTGTCGGTACCAACTCATAATTTTTATATGTATTTTTAAAATTATAAGGACAAGCGTTGCATGCCGATCAAAGTAAAGGAAATATAATTAGAAAATATAATTAAAGTAAAGAGACTTATTGTTATACTTTCTCTAGTCCTATTTATAGAGCCGAGAAAAAATAAATTTTTTGGTCATATTATAAATCATGTTATTAATTTTTATCATAATTTTTTTTTACTTTCTATTAAATGTTGGGGAGAAAAATTATGTTATTGAAGTGTGTATGTTTAATGGAGATAAAGTTAATGAATTTTAAGATTTTTCTTGATATTAATAAAACATGTTGAAAGTGACTTATAAATAAGATCAAATGAGTATTTTTTTTTAAAAGGAAATAAAGAAAAAAAAAAAAAAGAAGCCAGTGACATAATTTGTTAATTAGGATTTAGGAATACGTTCAAGTGCAGAGAGCAGCACCTTCGTTCCATTTTTGTTCTTTCAATTTCTAATTAATTTATCTGTTCTAATAATTAGGTTTATGAGTTGAGTACAAGTCCTAATTAAAAAGGATTCGATGAGCAGCCAAGAGAAATGAATTAAGGGGATCAGTGCCTAATATCTTCGACAAATTGTGCAATACAACAAAATGGACGGAATGATATTTAGATATTTACACTAATTACAGCAATAATATGTACCAAAAATAATTACAGTAATAATATTATTTTTACAAAATGCATAATTGCTACTGAAGTATAAAAAATATTATCTTAATTATGATCACATGTGCTCATATGTGAGATTAACATATCCAAACTCAAGCTTGAAACAATTTAAAAAAAGTAAAAAA